CACCTCTGCATGCTCCATGCAGGTGGCCACCGAGACGTCAGGTCTTCCGTGTGCACTGAGGACAGAGCCAGCTCCTGCTCTGAGATGTGGCCCAGGAAGAGCGCCTGGGGCGCAGGCGCGGAGCAGAGCAGGGGTAGCTCCGCCTGACGGGGGTGGACAGCTTCCGCTTCCTGGGACGCCAGCAGTCCCAGGCGGGCTCCCAGCTCTGGGTAATGCGCAGCCACGTTGGTGTGGCCCGTGGCTTTCTGCGGCACAGCGTGGGTTGCTGGGCCCCTTCTCTTTAGTCTTGCTCAGAAAGCAACCATCTTCCTGTTGAAACCCAAGTGCAGTCTCCGAAAGGAGCCTTGGGTTCCAAAACGACCTGGATAGTGGCTCTGGGTTAACAGCAACACACATTGAAGGAGCTAAAACCTTTCCGTTCCTGATGGCAGCGTGCACGTGAGACACACTCATCGCAGGGCCTCGCCGCGGCATGGTCTCCCCAGCCCTCCGGCCCGTGTGTGCCTGGGTGTTTGCTCGCCTGCAGGGCGTCCCGCCCACGGTCAGTCGTGAGCTGCAGCCCAGTCCAGCACTGACCACGCCGCTAGGCTGAGCTCCTAGCCACACACGTAAGGGCCGGCTAGGGTTGGGGACGCAGGAGCAGGTGGGAGGGAGACACCATGTAGCCGCTATCCATCCTGGTGTATGGGGGTAGGAGTCCACACTGTTCAGACCCTAAATACGCTGGGTACAGCCCCGCACCCTCTCACGGACCCTCACACCATCCCATGCCAGGCTTCCTGGCCTACAGCTGAGAGCACCAGGACTCGGAGTATGCGAGACGGGCCGGGAGCTGCCCTGAGTGCAAGGGTCTCGCCACATCCGCCACAGCCCAGCTGCACCGCTGGCGTGAAAGTTGTCCCCTGTGGTCACTTTGCAGAGCGCCTCGGTAGCCCCTCCAGGTACCGCTGGGTCTGGTTCCCTTACCTCAATCGGGGCTGCTCTCAGGACCGGCTCTGGATAGCCACATGCTCCCGAGTGCCTGCTCTGGCTTGGGGCCCGTCGGCCGGGGCCCGTGAGACGACGCAGGGAGAGGCTCCACTCATCCCCAGAGGCCACCGCATGTCAGACGCCCCAGCCGGCCTGTCACCAACACGCATGCTGAGTTGGGGCACGCTCAGCCGGGCCACCCAGGTCAGCTGAGGCCGGTGGTCAACTGAAAGACTCACGAGAGACCGACACACACTCCCTCCCAGGCCGCTGCTGTGGACGCACTCCCTGGTTGCTAACTGATACAACCACAACGTAACTTTCTTTTTCTTACATTCACTTTTTCCATGACAGAGAGACAAAGAGACAGAGACACAGCGCCTCCAACAGAGCCTTACAGAAGTGCCACCAGCTGCAGGCCTGGGTCTCGACGCACACAGCTGGACGAGTGGGGGCGTCTCTGGGTGTGAACCTGGAACCGTCCCAGGAGTCGGCCCACGGAGAGCGGCTGTGCTTCAGCGCCACGCCAGCCCCGGCTCCCTTCTTCCCGATGAGGAGTCAGCGAGGGCGAGACACCGACGGCCAGGGGATCGCAGGGCCCTGGGCTGGCTGGTTTTGCCTAGACCTGCTGCCGAGCATCATCTCGGGATTTCCCTTCCTGGTCGTTTCGGGGACGCCTTTCCTGCGTTTTCCCTTTCTTGGAAACTCCCTTGGGGCTGGGTGTGTCCTGGGGAGTTGCCGAAGGTCAGGTGGCTAGGATGCAGACCCTGTGCGACTCTATTCAGCCCCACACGGTGCTGGCGTCTAGCTGTTAGAGCCCCGCCCGGAACAGAATTCTGGTCACTGCTGCGTGGTCTCCCGCCTCCTCGTGTGGCTCTGGAGAAGTGCGCTTCCTCCTGACCCTGGTCCTCCCCATGAAGCCAGTCCTTCCTTTCTAGAAGCTTGTGGGGGACCACCTCTGTGCCCCGAGGGCTAGGCACTTGTGAGAGGGGTGTGCCTGGTGTGGGTCTGTCCCCGTCCCCACACCAAGCTCTCACTCGGTCCTCAGGGTGCTCTCATTCCTACAGAGTCGACCCACGTGCCGAGAATGGGTGGCTGGATGGGAGGAGGGTGGCCCGTACACGCTGTGGGACACGGCTCAGCCTCAGAGCACTAGGGGCCCTGTCGACTGCCATGGAGTGGAGTGGGTGAACACAGACTGCATGCCAGCCAGACCACGAGAGCCGAGACAGTGCTGGGCCCGCTCGCCGTTTACGAACGTCTACACTCGGTGGCGGAGACAGAGACGGACAGGCAGAATTTCAGACAGCAAGTCGGCCACACAGACGCCAGAGACTGGGCGGGCCCGGGGGGCGGGAAGGCACTGGCTGAGGGTGTGGGGGCAGTGTACGTGTGTCTACTGACGTGTGACGATTAAGGTTAGAGAGAAGATACTCGTGTCCGAAGGTCCAGGGCATTTTCGTGACCGGCTCCTCGGACGGTGTCCTCCTTCCCGCTGTCGCCCTCGCCGGGACCTCTTATCTGCACGCCGAACCTCGGGAACTGCTCGGCATGCCCACTGCTCTCCTTCCAAGTCTTCACCTCGGCTCTGTTTTCTGGGGCGTGTCTTTAAGCACCTCTCTTAGCTCTCTCGTTGAGTTTATTTTAAAGGTGTGCTTTCGTGTTTAAATATAAAACTCTGAATTCAGGCATCCTTGGAGTGACACCTTAACCCTGGTGTTGAGCTCCACGGACCCCCAGCCCCGCTGGGCTCCCAAGGCGCTCCGTGGTCCTCGCGGGGTGTTCTTTCCTGCAAACGGTCTCCCCCTCCAGGTGGCTTTCTGCCGTTGGCCTCAGCCCGGCCTGTAATAGTGAGTCCTCCTTCGGGTGCCTGGGCCGCAGCTCACGGCCCCTCTGCCTCTGGGAGGTCATGCTTCTCCAGAAGACTCCCAGCTGACAGAGAACCGTGGACTCTTCCCTCTTAGACAACGTGAGTGTGAGCTTCAGCCACCCAAAACCTTCTACTCTGGGCTTCAGACAGCCAGACACTGCGACCTTCGCGGACCTCACGGGTAGGCCCAGACAGGCTTACCATCACAGTTCTCCACCCCCAACCAGCGTCCTCCTTAAATAGAGGTGCACAGTCCGTTCCCTTGAGCCGGTTACAAGCTTCCGAGGCGTTTTCCACGTGGCAATGTACACAGTACGCTGCTGTCACCTGGACGTCTGTCAGTAACTACGGAAAAGCCAGGGGGCGTGTCTGTGCAGAACAAAGCAAGACCGGGTCAGAGCACACACGAGAACAAGGAACGCTTCTTAAAGGACTCCCAAAGGCACGCCTGCGGGACGGGGCGGTGGGAGCGGGCCTTGTTCTTGACGTTTCTGCTCCCCCCAGAGCGAGGGCCCTGTCCTCCGCTGAAACAGGGCAGAGGGCGGGCACAGTATGACCCCCCTCTTGGTATTGAACGCTGGTGTGAAACCCTGGGGAAGGCGTGCAGGACCCCGGTTCCCAGGCGAGGGCCTCCAGAGTGTGGACTTGGAGGTGTCGACAGTTGGCCTTTGTTGACTTTTTGCCCAGAGCTAATTAAGGGAGGCTTCAGGAGACACGAGGGGTGACGTAAGAGCTACACCTTCAGCTCCAGTAGCTTTGCAAAGCACCGAGAAGCTGGCCCAGGGTAAGGGAGTGCCCGGTCCCTGTCAGCTGTGCTTCTAGAGTTGTGACAGATGGGTGAGAGACACCCTCCAGGAACTGCAGGCCACCCTGGGTGCCATGGCTTGGACGGCTCTCTGTTTGTGGACATGGGTGTGCTGGGCCCCGGCTGTCTTGGGAATGCACAGGTGTGTGGGGGCCACAGCAGGAGGGAAGGGAAGCCCTTAACTCCCAGCCACTCCTAACCTCTCCCCACCTGCGTGGGAAGGCCACCCTAGTCATGCTGCCCTGACTCTCCAAGGCCCCAGCAGGACCCGGAGGGCAGGCAGAGAATGGCCAGCCTCTCGGACCTGGCCCAGAGTGCCTCCGGGTGTTCCGACACCAAGCTCAGGCAAGCCCGCCTGGGGCCGTGGCAGCCGGGAAACCGCTTGGGAAGAAGGGCCCGTGACCTCTGGTGGTGACAGAGACACAGAGTGGCCGGAGGGTCGTCTTCTTTAAACATGAGAAAATGAAAAAGCTGGACCTTGACTGGGTCTGGCGGTGACGTCCACAGAGAGGGGGTTTTGGGACCACAGGCTGGGGGCGTGGGGGGAACAGAGGAGCAGAGGCGGGCGAGAGCGTGAGCCACACTGCCTCTCACGGCTCCTTCAGAGGCCCTGCGGGGCCGTCCTGACCGAGGGGCTTTGCCCTCCAGTGTTCTCAGCCTGAGAAACGGCCAGGCAGGCCTCTGGGAACCAAGGCAGGGGCCCCATTTTACAGGGACCCTGCCTGGGATGCAGGCCCTTCTGCACGGTAGCTTTTGGGGGTCTCGGTCCACTGTGACGTCCTGACCGAGTGGGCTATGCCATTTGCCAGGTCAGAGGGCAGAGCTGGTGTGCTTGGCCATGACCCCACTCTCCTGGCAACAAGGTGCCAGTGCTGGGAAGCCCTGACCCTGGGCAGCGGCTGCGCTGGACACAGACAACAGGCTTGTGAAACACGGGTACAGCCATGAGCAGGCGGCGGGCCACGTGGGCTTTCCCTTCCCACCGCTCCCCCTTCTGCTATAAGCCCTCGGAAGCCACTTGCAAGCTGTCTGTATCAGTGCTGTGATCGGGACCCCATGGTGGTAGGACATGCCAGTCTCTCAGGACTTCTCAAAGCCCTTTGGGGCTGAGAACAGTGGCCATCAGATGGGAGTGCCTGGCTCACCCCACAGTTCCAATTCCAGATGAGGCAGGACACCTTCGGGCAGCCTTGAAAACCAGGCTGCTCCCAGGCCTCTGAGACGCTGCTGCACCCAGGGGCTTCGGCCTGAGCCGGGGGCTCCAAGGTCATCTCAGACCTCAGGCCTCGGCCTTCCGCTCCTGGAGATGGGGACACAGTCCTGCTGGTTCAGGGACGAAAGATGACAGCACAGAGGTCAGGGTGGAGGTGGCATGGACGTTTATTACAGAGCAGGCTAAGCTCTATGCCTCTGACAGATTCAGAGTCATCCTGATCGAAGGACCTCCAGGGTTCACTGCCTCAAAAACACGCATAAATAGCTTACTACAGATAAATAGCTTCACCTCCGGGCGTCTCCCAGGGCACCTGAACATCTCCAGGGACTGCAGAAGGGATGTGTGGCCAGGTACACCCAGCCCCTCTGGAGGAAAATGCCCCGGGCTCGGGCTGCCGGAGCGTCGGGACAGGCTGTGGCCAGCATCTCCTCCCAGGGACAAATCCTTCCTAACCGCGGGGGTGTCCTTGGCTGGTGACAGTTCCTGGCAGAGTGGTGAAGGGACGGGAGTCACCCATAGAGCCCGGGGTGCACGGCCCCCGGTGGGACTGGAGCGGCCGACTTCTGGCCCAGTATGAATTGGGCCCTTTCAGAAAGCAATGCTGTGTCGATAAATTGTACCTCACTTTAAAGAACCGGACAGGGAAAACAGAGTAGAGCTTTATACTAGCGACCCCGGCGAAGCCCTCAGCAGCGCCTCGCACGTGTCCTGCTCTGCCGGCGGCCTTCTCGCCCAGCGCCTCACACCCCGATCTTCATGTCCACGTCCTGCAGGTTCCGGGCCTCGTCGGCCGTCATGGCCTGGTCCGGGCCCTCCGCCGCCTCCTTGTTCACCAGGTGCACCATCTCCTGCGACTTGGCCTCCCCGTTGAGCCCGCTCGGCTTCCTGCCCTCCACTGTGCCGTTGCCACTGTTGATCACCAGCTTCTTCTTCTGCCCGCACCTGGCGAGGTCCAAAGGTCAACGAGGAAGGGCGTGGCTCCTCCGTCCCCTCCCCAGGGTCACATGGGGCAGCCCCTCTTGGTCATCCTTGTGGGTTAGGGCGGCCTACCTGTCCCTGCTGGCCCTCCTGACCTGTGACGAGAGCCCTTCTCACGGGGAAGTCCCCGCACCAGCAGGTCAGCGTCACCTCCCACTCTCGGCCCACCCTACCTGCCTAACCCAGAACCCCAGGATTTGGTGAGGATTTGGGCTCAACAAGCCCTTGGGGAGCTTCTGTGTAGTCACGTGTGAGATTTTAGGGCCACAGCTCCAGGCGCCAGGGCTGTTACGGCCCTTGGGCACTGCCAGTTCAGGCCCTGCAAGGGTGAGACAGGCCCTAAGCCCTGTCTGTCCAACATGGGGTGCCAACTCCCTTTCACCATACGGCGAGGGGAGCGCCGGCCCCTGGCAAGTGCCTCAGCCGCTGCTGCAGACTGTGGTAAGCCACCACGCGGACACGCCAATGGCCTGACCAGCTCCAGGGAGCCCGGCTGGCCTGCAGCATTGTCACCATCTGCACTGAGACGGGGAAGGGACACTCGACGTGTAGGTCCTCTCAACTGCCCCCTACACTGCCGGCTCCCACGGAAACCGGGATGTGGGGGTTGAACAGGAGACACACACCGCGGTCACCCCAAAGCTCCTGGGTCATGCGTGCAGATCTGTGTGACGTGTGACCCTGAGCCTGTCCCTGGTCTGACGGAGCCCCACCGCCGCCCCTGGGTTTGAGGGTCCCCCCGTCATCTGGCGCACCCTCCCTTCCCTGAAATGGGATCAGTGCTGCGTGTGCTTCGAGGAGGCAACGCCCACCTCTCTGGATGCCAGACCCTGGAAGCCACCGTTATCACACACAGCTGCAGGGACCGAGGCCAGAGGCCAGAGGCCACCCTGGGAGACGGCCGTGTCAGTGTGCCAGTCCAGGCAGGGACCAGAAGCCCGGCTCCGCCTGTGACCACCTGGAGACTCGGGAGCCCTGCCTGCAGTGGGACTGCTCGCTCTGCCCCTGACGTTAGCATGGCAGATAGGGCCTCTGTTACCCCTGGTCACAGGCTATCCCCCGAGGACTGCCAAGGCCATGAACCTTAATCTCGTGTTTGGGAACAGACCGTGCCTCCTCGGTGGGCAGGTTCTGCCCTCTGGCACGAGTCTCAGTGAGCAGCAAGGCCGAGGGCGCTGGAGCTGGGCACGGACTCCTGAGGGCTGCTACGGGCGGGACCATGCCGACGGCAGGGGCGTGAGCGAACAGCGCTTTCAAGGCCTTTCTGCCGCGTGACTTGGGCCCCTCACTCCCTCTGAGCCACGTTTAGATCGGGGGCATCAGGCGCTAAAAGCACCCAAGGCCACACGCTGCGTGGGGGGTATGGCAGCGCGTTAAACAGCACCCTCGGCGGCCAGCCGGCCCTCACCTTCGACGGCTGTTGACAGCGATGCAAACTGCCAGGACCAGGGCCAGGGCCAGCAGGGACGCCAGGATGATCAGCCACTCTGACGGAGGGAAGCGAGGGGCCTGTGAGCTCCGTGGGAACAAAGCTGCCGGTGACAGCTGCTGCCCCACCCGGGGACCACCACACCCATGTTCTGCTCAGGCCTGCCCGGGCGGGACACACGCCCCTCTCTCCAGGAGGCCCTGCCGTGAGACTGCAGGGGAGAGCCCGCGGGACACTGACCAGCCCGCCTCTCACGATCCCGATCCCTCTTCACAAATGCCCATTGTAAGCTCAAGGAAGGTAAAGAACTTGCACTCAGTGTCAAATCTCGACTCTAAAGAGCCAGGCATCCCTGTCCACTCCCCGTTCCTGTAACACTTTTCTGAAAAGTTTTCTTCCTGGACCCAAAAACAGTCCCTTGAGAAAAGGGGCTTGGGGACCAGAAGGTTGTCACTCTACCCAATAGTGGTCCTAGGTGTGCTCCCCATCGGTAAGGCAAGAGGGAGTCAGGAGGGAACGCTTGGGGCAGAGGGCGATCACCTGGGGGAGGGGAGGGCGGGTGTGACACGGAGGACCTGGGGGAGGGGGAGAGGGCCGGGTGTGACACGGAGCACCTGGAGGGGAGGGCGGGTGTGACCCGGATG